AATTAATGTACTTTATAACTTGTATGTAACAAGAATACTGTAATATTAATAATTATATTACTATATAAAGAAATATACTACTATATATATCTGATATACAGGTATATCAACAGTTCAAGTTTTTCTGCGTACGTTTACGTACGTACTGTACATATCTGATATCGATATGTAAGTGTACGTAAATCATAAACAAATTTTTTTATGTGTTACCGTTACAGTTGGCTCGAACTTGAGTGAACTCGAGTTTAGAGAATGCGTAGCAAAATTAACTAAAAAGGAAACTGTTTATTTAAAAATTACAACGAATCCGAAAAGTCTTTGTCATTGCATTGAATACTTACTCAATGAGATTATTTATGGAGTATTTTTTCCAAATTCAAGTAGTTCTTGGTCGGCTAATGCGCTGTAATGCAGTAATGGTGAAACACTAAGCAAGAAAGAACGACCCCTTACCGTTGTTATACTTTACCAATTTTGGTATCCCTTATTATACTTCCTCAAACTTATGATCTTCCAAATATTTATATTCCACTTTCATATATGACATTGATGCATGATATTTATAAACTTTTTTGATCATGTACATAGTATTTGTAGTGTAGTTGTATAGTACTGTATAGTACTGTATATCGAGTATATAAAAAAAATAAATAAATAAATAGATAAATAAGGCATACAGAGTATACTCATTATTTTTCATATTTAAAGAACCGTTGGCCCAACTCACCGACGACTTTTAGAATTCCTTTCTTTTTACTCTTACATCAGATATTTGCCATTAATATTACTATAATATTACTATATACTAGAAATATATATATTAAAAAAAATGAATAATAGTAGTATTATTGCGGTGGATATTCTTCCACATAATGATGGAAAAATTGTTATGTACGGTGCACCTGATAAAGATATTAAACACTTAGTTTCCGGTAAACTTCGTATAATCCTTTCAAGACCTTTAAAAATAAAATTTATATCCATTAAATTAAAAGGAAGATCTGAATATTCAGATTGGGAAGAACAATATTCTTGTTTAGAAGTAATTAAACTTGAAAAAATTCTTTATGAAAAAAATACTTTACCTATAGGTGTTACCGATATTGAATATGAACTTGTGGTTCCCGGTAATTTACCACAAACTTTTAGAACAAATTTTGGTTTCATTTTTTATAAATTGGTTGCCGTGGTTCAACCTGCTTCATTAATGTCAAAATACGCTAGAGTTGAGAAAGGAATTAGTTTTTTAAGGCATTATTTACCTTGTAGGAGAGAACTTTTACCTGCTCCACCTACTAAAATTTATAAAGGACAAAGAAAAGATAATTTGGATTTTGAGTTGGAACTTCCTACAGTCATTTGCGTTAATGAAAGAAGTTTATTAATCAGATTAAGATTATTACCACATAACGATAAAGGCCGTTTAAAGAAGGTTTTTTTTG